TCACATTTTCTGATTCAATTCGTGTTTAAAATAGCAATAATCTCTTTTAAAAATAAAATGGGGCACACAATTAAACGTACAAAAAAAGATTTTTTTTAATGATCACAACGACTGAACAAGGTCGTTTGATTCAGAGTTACTTCCCTTAACTTTTTACTGTCGTCGGGAACATGGAGCATCAAGGCCAAGAAAATTTTCTTCCACCTATAAGAATTTTTTAAAAATTAATCCTTGACGTAGACTATAATAATTCTGCGAATGTTCCTCTTGTTAATCCAACAGAATCATCGATATATGTAGTGGATACAAATCTTCACCCTTTAACTGAGTTTGGAGTGTCGGGTGTTTTCAACGTTTCTTTTGGCCTTCAGTTTATATAGCGAGAAAATTCTATGGAACTGAATGCCAACCAAATAATTTTGATCTTACGCCATTCACGATCAATTCAAAAACAAATTTTTCTGTTTCAAGACTTGACATTGGTACATGTAATCCCTGATATTTGAAATGAAATGTGAAATAAATATCCGGTGTATCTAATTTACAAACGGGTGATGACTCGTATACTTTGAATTTTAGTAGAAACTGGTTTCCCCAGTATTCGAGAATATCTTACTCCGATTGCTAAAAAAATATTATATACATGTATATGATTTCAAGTCAACAAGTAAAAACCAAATTTCTCCAACGTTTCGGCAAAGGAGCATAATTCGTGCCTAAAAACTTGATCTGATAAGCCGACGATCAGTGAGTAAGGGTGCGATCACGCGAACTGTCTTGGTCGCCGTTCTTATCAACGACTCGTATCTTGAGTAAAATCTCACGAGTGCATGCACGCGCTTCCACAACAAGACTATTACGGAATATGATATCAGAGGCATCTTGGATTGACCAGAGCACCTATACAGACGGACAACACCGATGTATTTGTGAATATTGTAACCAGTTATAATTAAACAGTTTTAAGTTCTTTTTCATAGTTTTAGTGTTAAGAGTGAAGAAGTTTAAAAACTTCTATGTAAAGCACTGGCCAAGGTCACAAATAAAGAGATAAATGTTCAATACAAGATAAGGTGAAGTTAGCATAGTTAGTATTAAGTTAAAAAAAACAACCACGAGTAATCTAAATAAACAAAAGTCTATAATATGAAAAATTTCTTGTTACCAGTTCTAAAAGAAAAGAGTATGAATAGGTTCTGAAAAGATAAACATCTATATATAAGGATTAGAATATATTATACTTAATGAGCTAGAAAATAGAGAGGGAGGTCAAGTATTATTGGATTCAATGGGATCGAGTCTACCACGGACCAGAAAATTACTAAGGTTTTTATTGCGCTTATAGGCAATTACATGTCGTTTGGTATATACATTCGGAAATCTGTTCTGTAATTCACTTTAATACTGTTTGACGATGGATGAGGTTTTGGCAGCTGTATGATTAAAGGTGGCAACAAATGAAATCATTTGATTATCATGCTGGATGTTAAGTCCATTTGGAGCCACTGTTTGGAGTTGGTCCATCCAGTAGCTTTCTCTCTGTAATCGTTTGATTTTTTACACGAAATTAGGTAAATGATATTTTTATCCGTACACGTGAGACGTTCTTTAATTTCAAATATTTTTCCGTTTTTTTATTTTGAAAATAATGAGACATATGGATATGTTCACAGGTGCGACACCGGGAACCTCTACATGGTATTGCGCCAAAGTTATTTATTGGAGGAGTAAGTGTCATTTTTAATTTTGCGCAAGAATCGTTTGGAATAGCCCCTCTCTCTTAATTTACTGAAAACTAGTCTACAAGCTGCATCAAAATCTACTTTTTGAGTGCAAATTCTAAAAAAACGCAAAATTTGTGATTTGATTATTCCCGTAAAAGTATGTTTTGGGTAAAAAGAGTTTTTATATATAAGTTGGTGAGTATCCGTTGGTTTAAAAAATACTTTGATGTCTAATTTGTTTGTTTGAGAGAAACTTGGTCCTTTGAATACCGTAGTATCCAAAAAATCCATATTTTGTTCAGAAATATTCGCAGTTAGTTTTACAGAAGGGTGGTGATTATTTAAAATTTCAAAATATTGCCAAAAATTTGTTAAAGACTCGGTCCAAATAATAAAAATATCGTCAAGAAACCTTCCATAGAAGAAAGGTTCAAAAGGGGAAATGGAAGAAATTTCCAGTTCCCACTCAGCCATAAAGATATTTGCATAACTCGGCGCAAATCTTTTGCCCATCGCGGTGCCTGAAGTCTGGAGATAAATTTTTTCATTAAAGGTTTAGTGTAAATTCTCACTACTACAATAGGCCTACTACCGATGGAAACTGTTACAAACATGGTATTTTCTAATGTCGGAATTTCTAATGAATACTCGGAATGTGAAAAAAATTGGTTTTTTTTCAAAAAGTCTCGACTAACGTTAGTCCTTGGTTACTTTTTTCTCGTTTTAAAAAACGTCATTAGTGGGGGTTAGTTCATGCGCGCATGGACTAACCTTAGTGCCGATTTTTCAATTCGATTTTTCAGTAACCTTTACGTCAGCTAATGGGGCAATTATTTATTTCGAGTTATTGGCGTTTTGTAGGCCGATATTTTATTCCATGTCGGCTATGATCTCTTCTTCTCGATGTTATTTAATGTGTTTGTTTGTGTCTTATCGTAAATAATAAAAAAAATCATCTAGAATTATCAACCATGAATGGTTGTCATGAACGGCTTTCGACGTCATCGGCAAATAACGTCATAATTCTTGAGCAAAGCGCTGTTTTCAAGATTTAGAAAGGCAAATTAATTTTTTTCTTTAGGGTCCTGAAATAGTTTTAAAAAAAGTTTCAAGCATTCGATCCGTATTTTTTAAAATCGTCGATCGACGGTATTATAAAAACAATGTGATACATCGACCGGTCAATATCCTTTAAATATTTCTGTTATTCGCTCAGCCGTTTGTAGAAGGTTAAGGCTAGGCCATTCTTAAAGCCCGGCGCACACACGAGCTATCAGCTCAGGCAGAATTCATTCGTGCACTTCTCCTTAAGGCGATAGCTTCTGTGTTCGGGTAAATTTATGTAAGATTTTGGTCATTAGCTTTAGTTACGCGCACACACAAGCATTTGTTCATTGATGGAAAAAATTATCAAACACGTTTTATTTTCAACTTTTCGACACGAATGACCAAACTCTTACATAAATTTACCCGCACACGGAAGCTATCCTCTTAAGGAGTAGTGCACGAATGAATTCTGCCTGAGCTGATGGCTCGTGTGTGCGCCGGACTTAAAACATCCAAAAACCGAAATTCCACATCAAATTACTTTTATTAATGCATGTAAATATACAGTTCTACATGTATGTTTTTCATCCTTAGACCGTGCCATTTTAAACAGACTCTTGTTCCTGGTTATGATGAAATGTAGGTCACATCGTCTATCAGAAGATCAAAGAGGTCCTTGATCTGAGCAACTACCGGTTAAGGTTAAAGGGAATGAGGAGTGTAATATCATTGTTTTGCTGAAAGAAACACAGTGGACTATTGTTTTTTTTTTGTTTTGTTCTTTTATAAATGGGTGAATTTGTTACGTTTTGAATTTTTGAATTTCACAATATGAAACACCTTTTAGTTTTCGTGCCCTGAATGGTATCCAGTCATAACGGTAACAAACCAAAACGGTAACAATTTTTTTCGGTTATTTAAACGGCAACAGATCAGGCCCGTAGCTTCGAGGGGGGACAATGACTAACTGGATAATCTGGGGTATTTTACTAATGATAATGAATGTAAAGACAAATTCAAAGGGGAATAATATTTTCAGCAACGGTACTCTATGCGTAAAACGAAGGAGTAGGTGACACTTTTTTCTTTGATCTTTTTTTAGCAGTGGCGCCATTCCGTCTTGGTCTGTCTTTTTCCGTAGTTACCTTACCAATCACAATTACCATCTGTTGCGATATTACTCATATTTCTCATCTTTTGGTCTGAATTAAACTATTTTATATTAAAATAAACAAAACAAAACTCAAATGATACTTTTATTTGTATAAAAATATGTATAAATATCTGTTTCCGTTTTGATCAATCTGTTACCGTTTTGACAATGAAAATTTATTACCGTTTTGACAATAAAAATTTATTACCGTTTTGGTTTGTTATCGTTATCACCGGTATTCCTCTGAATATGTCACTCATGTTTGTGTAATTTGTATATTAATTAATGTTCTGAATGTTTTTTTTATATAAGAAGCCAAATTACGAATTAGTTAAAATGAAAAAAAATAAAAAATAATAAACATGACCAATTCATGTTATTTATCTCACATTTCAGACATGCTGTTGAGCAACAATCTCTTGGCACACTTCTTTTCTCATGTCATGACTTTTTGCTCAAACAACTCTACATTAATATAGTCTCCCATACCCTCCTCTTCCTCTTTAAATGCTCATATCAAGGTTTATCCATCAGAATATGGCTAGGGAGAATTCTTTCAAAAAAGCATTAGAAAAATATATTTTTTAATAACATCCATTGGTGTGAAATAAAAAACGAACAATGTTATGATACATTTAAATAATAAAATGGATGTTCTTTAAATAAATGAAGAAACAAATGTCAAATTCTCAAATGAAAGACATAACAGAATATACACATCATATTATTACAAGAAAACAAACAAAATAAAAAAAACAACATATTTTAATAATAAACCAGAAAAAGAAAATATATCATGCAATTAACATTATAATTTGAAAAATGAAACATATCAATTAACATACAAAACACAACATTTTAACAATATTTTACACAATTTTTGTAAGTCATATGCTAGACTGAATCCTCAATACCACTACCTTCTATATCAGACCCCTCGTCACTATTAAATATTTCTGTAGGGGTACTGACGATATTATCACATCCTGTGCATCCACATAAGTCTGTACAGGAAACATCTGATAATTTACACGAACATCTTTTCGTATCACAGAGCAATTGCAATGAACATATTTCAATATAGTGTCTGGTGCTGGATCTAATGTCATCCCAACGATCGAAATTTGGTCATTTGAAATGCTCCAACCATGGTCCTTTGGTGATGGGCTCGATATATATTGCTGCAGTGAGCGTTTATGAATGGCAGCTTGGTAATTTGACCTGCTTATGTGTAGAGCTAACGAATCAGAAGTTGGGGGTAAGCTTTGCTCGCTTGATGTCAGACAAAACAGTCTGTAGCGAGCTTCATTAACAGAATGAACACTATTAAAAATCAGAAAAATCTAACAAAATTTAGTATCTTGAAAACGCATTCAATAAAACGCTTAAAGGTTCGATTCATCCTGGACAAAGACAAAACATGGTAATAAGTATTCAGGATTACTCCAAAAAGTTAAAAAGAAGTGTATGATTGAAGGTTGAATATTTCATACTGGTGATTGTTACCGTTCCGACAAACATTTTTTATTAAAATCAAAGCTGCCAGTGGGCGTTCATTACCTTGGCTCGTAAGCTTTTTTTGTTTGAATATGATACCATAGAATTTGCTACTGATTGGACGAACATAATTATTGCCCATTGTTACACTCGGAAAAACGGAACGAAAGCTTGATCTAATATATCTTTAATTGAACTGGATTAGAAATGAAGCTCAAGCAATTTATGTTGTCTCTCTTGACTAAAAATTTAAGAAGTGATAAGAGGCCCTTCAGTGTCATTCGAAAACGCGTTCTGCAACCAAATTCAACTGAACGAACATCACTGAAAGCAAGTGAATGGGCATGAATTTATCAAAATGAAGCAGAAAATGGTCTGCAAGTGACAGATTTTTCTAACGTAAGTTTTTCCAATAATGATGGTTATGTTGATGTATCTGAAGTTGGTACAATAACTTTTTATTTTTTTTATATGAAAAGTGGACCGGATTCGCAGTCAATGCACGTTTATTGGGGACTGGGTTCTAATGTAAAAATGTAGGCTCACAGTACTACTATTCTGCAACTTGATAGTACCAGAGATATCTCTCCTTTGACATAATAATTGCTAAAATGTCTAAAATGATATAAAAATTTTAAAACATTCGAAGAAATATCCTCGGTGGTCCATCCTTTGAAGCTTTCCTTGCTTAATCAAGCATTATTGCCATGTTGATGCGCACATTGCTAATATCAGTTGGTTGGATCCGAATTCGACCAAAACATCTGCCTATATTCCAGCAATCTGGTTAACTATTTGGACAGGTGTCAAAATATCCACCAGAGGCTTGAATAGAGGCAGATGTTTCGGACTAGATCCAAATTTAAACTATATCGGATGATATTTTACGTTGTCACTTCATTTAACAATTGCCATCTTGTTCTTTGTTTGATGATGGAACGTATAAATAGTCGAGCTAATATCACACATATGATCTGAAAATAAAGGGTATATTTAATAACATCTAAAAAATATTCTACCGGAAAAAGAAAACATGATTGTGTTTTTCGTCTGAATTCACACCAATCCTCATCGTCCATTCAAAATGTAAA